GATGGGAGAATGAGATTCTGCATCTGAAAATGGTGAGTACTTTATTTTACGCAATTATTAATATTGTAATTAATAGAAAATCGATGAAACTTCCGCAAATGAAAATGCACGCGATTGAAAATAAATTCTACCCGACAAATTTCATTCGAGATTTAATAGGAGAAAATAAACTGAAAATTTAATTTCAAAAAAATTTACTGTTTTACATACATTTTTTAATTGAAGAACAAAGAACATGTTCTTCAAATTTTTAAATAATTTACTAATATATGTTAATAAATGAATGAATGAATTAATTAATAATAGATAATTATAAAAGTAGAGAGAGAGAGGAAAAAAGAGACGAGAATATTTAAATTAGAAAATATAATATATTCAAAATATATATATTTGGTGCTCTATTTTGATGAATTTCGATTTACGGAAACTAGGAAGCCTCTCTAGGAAGGTGACAATCTATACACAAAGAGATTCGCGAGCTTGTTAATATGCAAATTTTCGCGAAGCATCTCGAGTCATGCAAATTAAATACTCCTTAACGCAGAGAGTAGACGAGAGGAACAAAAAAGAAACTATCTGTTCCTTAAGACAATGCGTTTATACCGTTTCCTTTTTTTTCTCCACTTTGTTTGAAAAAATAGTTTGAAAGCAAAAAAAAAAAAAAAAAAAAAACTTTCCTAACAAAGTTCATTAATTATTTCTCAATATATTTGTTAATTTAATTTTTAAAAACTGTTCTTGGGGTCGCCGAATTTGAATTTAATGTCCGTTTTTTAAAATTCAAAATGTCGGACAAATTTTGTTAATGTTGACGGATTTTTTCAAAATGTTTACTCAAGAGTTTATGGGGTTTCTAAATTCTGAGGTCAGCATTAAAAAATTAAAAATTGGGACTTCAAAATCATTCGAGTAAACATTTGTAGACAAATTCGTAAACTATTAAAAAATTCGCTCGACATATTGAATCCGCCATTTGTAAAATTGAGTAATAATAATATTATAATAATTCTGTATAAATATAAATTATGCGAAACATTTTTTTCAAGTAATAAAAATTCTGTCAATCGGTTAAATTCGAAAACATTTCGAAAAAAGTTTTTTCTATAAATTAATATTTCGTTTAAAATAAATTATACACAATTTTCTTATGAGATAAAAAGAATTTCGGTTAAAAAATTTCAAAAAAGCAAAATTGGGCTCTATTCATATGCGCCTCTCCTTATTTCACCGATGAAAGACCATTTAAGTAAAATTTCTTTCATCGTTGAAAATTCAAGAGACCCAACATCTAAGATTATCCTCTCCAACGTTTTTTTATATATAAAAAAAAATAGTCCAGGAACTAAAAAAGTGTTCCTTTTAAAACAGAGAAAAAGAACATTTTTCCCAAACGATGTGAAATTTAATTAAAAAGCTCACTTCATTTTACATTCAGTCAAGGGGGATATTTTCAAATCCGGCAAGAGATAGGAATTTCTTAGATAATAAGAAGAGAGTGCCAAATCACCCTTTTCCATGCGGCTTATAAACATTAGACATTTTATGAAATGTATTCTTTCACTTAATTAAAAAAAAAGAAAAAAAAAGAAGAAATTGAGAGGAAATAGAGAAAGGTTGATGATAATTTTCACGTGAATAAAATATGTGCATATATATATATTAAGGGAGTGAGGGAGAGAGAAGACTTGCACTTCGTAATAGATACCCGAAGAAAATAGCATTGCAGCATATTTGGGAAGTTCGCTATATAGAAATGTCGGTGAACTGCGGTAAGGCTTCGAGTTAATTGAAATGGAAAATTTAATTAAAACCGGGATATCAAGGATTTGCATTCTGCCACAGTAAGTGGGTTGGATATGCATGTGCACATTTTTCTCTACTGCAGTCCCTCAGTTCTCGCCATTTCTACTTTTCACAAAAGAAAATCCAACGCACAGCACGCCACACCGAAAATTATTATTATACCTATATATGTATGTATGTACAGTTCGTTATAATTTTTGAACAAAATTCGTAATATTATTTACGAGAATGCTTTTCTTTCTTTTGTCAAAAAAAAAAAAAAAATGGTCTATATTTCTCTTGAAAAGTAAAATAATATCCTTCTTTTTTTTGGTAAAAAAAAATTGTCTAATTATAATTAATTAATCTAAATACAAGGTGTACTTTGTAAATTTTTGAAAAGTGTGCATGAATTTAGAGAAAACTTGTTGCATTTCATTTCAGATTTTCTTAACTGGAGTGAAAAAAAATTTATTTTATTCACACCAAAAGAAATGTTTTAATTTCTGACGGTGTGAGTTTTTCTAAGGATATCAAAAACTAAGACAAAAAAAAACGTATCAAAACTTTGCTTCGCAAACTATTTTGATACGTTTTTTGTCTCAATTCAGGACTCGAACCAGTGAGAGTATTTAAAAATTAAAATGCGGACTTTACGGACCAAAAATTATAAATCAAATTTTTCATAACTATAAAATATGAAGATATCAACTCCGAGTCTTCGACTCGGAGTGATCGATTTCTTCATGTTTTATAATAATTTAAATTTTCATAAAACTTTCAAAAAAAAAATTAAATTATTTACTTCCCAAGAATTCAATTATTTTTACGAGTAATAAAATTTTTCACATGAATTTAATTATATAAATATTTAATAATTTTTGAAAAAATTCTTTGACAATTTTCAAATCCATTTATTTACAATAGTCAATTTTACGAAATTTCAATTATTCGTAAATTCTTCAATTAAATAAATATTATAAAAAATAAAAACTTAAAATAAAAAAAAACCAATTAAAATTTTTCAAAAAAGTTGATTTCAAAATTCAATCATTTCTCAATATTCACGCTTTTAATATTCAATTACTATCTAACATTTTAACAGAAATTCAGGTTTAAATAAATTTTTATTAGAAAATTCTACTAGAATTCAATTATTTAAAAACAAAAATAAATAATTTATTGAATAATTAAATGTTTTTTAAAAATTCATATCCCATAACGAATTTTAACGACTAATTTTCGAATAATTGAATTCTATCAACGAATTTTAATAAAATTTTCAAAAATAATTACATTTTTGCAATAATTTGTAACTTTTACTAAATGAATTTTTTTTTCGTGTTTTTAATCAAACATGTTTTATAAATCCATTATTTTTAATAATTTTTGAAATAGTTTTTTAAGAATTTTCAAATTTATAAAAACTTTAAATAATTTTAAAAAAATCTGCAATTAAAATTTAAAAAAAAAAAAAATAAATTCCACAGAATTTTTAGTTAAAAATATGAAACATTCAAATTTTCAAAGATTTTAATTGTTATTAATACAATTTTAAATAAATTCCTGAAGAAACGTAATTATTTTTAAAATTTTTTGCAAGAATTCAATTACATTTCACAAATAATGAAATTCTTCTCTGAAATTTAAATATTTTTAAAATCTATTATTTTCATAAAATTTTTTAAATGAATTCAATTATTTAAAAAAATATAATAAAATGCGTGCAAGAATTCAATTAATTTCATAAATAATACAATTCTATACAGGGTTTCAATTATTTAAAAAAAATTTAATCAAAATTCGTTGCAAGAATTTAACTATTTTCATAGTTAATCAAATTCTTTACAGGACTTTAATTATTTTTAAAAAATGAATTAAAAATTCTTTACAAGAGTTCAATTATTTTTTAAAATTATTTTTATTATTTTTATTATTTAATTATTTTTAATAAAATTTTAAGTAAATTCTTCGAAAAAAGTAATTATTTTCAAAAATATTCAAAATTTAATTATTTTTGAAAATCCATTCTATAATGCTTTTAATAATAATTAATAGATCAATTATTACATAAAACTTTAACTGAAATTTATTTTTAAATTAATTTTTATTAGAAAATTCAACGAGAATTCAATGATTTAAATACAAAAATAAATAATTTATTGAATAAATGAATGTTTTTTAATATTGAATCCTCATAAAGAATTTTATCAACAAATTTTTAAATAATTGAATTTTTTCGAAGAATTTTAATAAAATGTTCAAGAATAATTTCATTTTTCGAGAAATTCGATAAAAAATGTATTAAAAATAATTGAAATTCTGCAATGAGTTTTAGTATTTATGAAAATAATTGAATTCATAAAAAGAATTTTATTATTTACGAAAATAATTGAATCCCCATAAGAATTTTATTAAATTTTTTTTAAATAATTGAATTCTTTTGGAAAGTTTTATGAAAATAATAGATATTGATAATTATTAAATTGAGGAAAATTTTTAGAAAATAATTCAATTTCGGAGAAGAATTTAATTATTTCTAAAGATAATTGAAATTTTGATGAGAATTTAAAAAAATTTTTGAACATAATTCAATGTTTGCGAAGAATTTTATTACTTTTGAAAATAGTTGAATTTCTGCAATGATTTGTAATTTTTCTAAATTTATCCAAATTATATCGTACAATTTACGAACTTTTTGTCCTTTTTGAATTAAATTACGAACTTTACGTACCTTTTTTCAAACAATCAGAATTTTACGGAATTTACGGACCTAGTTCGAGCCCTTCTCAATTTGATATCCTTAGAAAAACTGTGAGTCTAGGAACTAAAAGTGTCTACCAATTGATTTTAGAAATCAAATATTTTTTATGTAGCTGAAATTGTCACCCAGTTAATTTCTCAAAATTTTATGGTTTAAAATAAAATATTCATTTCCGAATGTTTTCGTTTAATTTGCCTTAATTTATAAAGGATCTCGGACGTTAAAGATTATTTAACTGAAATAAACTAGAATTTCCAAAATTAACTAAATATACTGATAACTGGGTGTCAGTTTCTCGGCTTTACCGACATTCTTCTTAACTGCAATAAAGAACAAGTTTTCAAATTTACAAATATTGATATTGTTACTCAAATTTTCTACAAAGAAAATTAATTATCAAGTGACAATGCTCATCACTTGATGTGTGATCGATACACGTGTTTGAAATTCATACCTTGTCGTTGCCCGGTTGTTTAATGTAGCCAGGAGGCCGGGTAGCTATTGAAGTTGCCACCAATGTGATTACTGCAACCTGTAATCAAATTGAAACAGTTCCCTATAAACAGTAATTGATTTCATATATATATACATATATTACAAATTACAAAATCGTCAAATAGACATTTTCAATTAAAGTTTTGTTCGAAATGAAAAAAAAAAAAAATTTGCAAAAAAAGAAACAAAAAAAATCTATTTTTATCACTTCCTTTTTTTCCGATATTATTTCTTTTCTTTTTTTTCTTGTCGACAATTCATTTTTTATTTAATGAAATTCTTATTCTCAACTTGAGAATTTAATTATTCATTGGACGTTTTTCAAGAATTTCTTATATTACTAATCGAGAGAAAATATAAAAGCTGAATATTTAGTCGAAGACGAAAGCTGTGTTGCGCTTTATAGTTTGCAATTTGAATTTGCGCATGATAAGCAAGAAGAATATAAACAGCTTATACTTTCAATCCTCCATTACGTTCACTCTAAGCTTGCAACTTACACCAGATAAGGTCTTTGAAAACTTAAAACTGCCTTTTTCCAATCATAATAAAAATCTATCCGCGTTAGTTCGATTTGAGCAAAGTATGCAATAATTGGAAATTTTACAAATTCTTCACTTTTTTACGGATAATTTTCATAATTAGAAATATTGCAAAATATTATTTTATTATGAATTAATAATTATAACTAAATTATATTTATATTTAAATACCAAATATATTAATTATTTAGACTAAATAAAATATAATATAATATTTAATGAATATAATATTAATATAATGTAGTCATTATTATAGTTACAGTATAGGAAAATATTAAAGTAGAACCATTATTATCCGTATGTTACTTAATTGCTAATAAATTTTTTAATACATTACATTTTATATTATAATTATTAAGAAAAGTTAGACACTAATTAATTATCGATAATTACATCAATACGTGATAGTTTATTATATTAGTTCTCATAACATGTATATTATTAAAATAATTACCCAACGTTAGTAGTTTGTTTCTACCCCTTGTCCAGTTAAATTTTTGCTTCGGAAAATTTCTAACTTAAAATCTAATTACTTCTATTATCTATATCTAATTACTATTATGCAAAAAGAAGAGAAAAAGCACCAACTGACTAAATTTATCTAGACTTTGAAAGTAAGAGCAAAAAGAAACGAAGGAGATGAAAAACCCTCCGGTCCGTAACTAACTTTCTTCCTTAGTCTCTTGCGCATATAAAAGTACAAATTACAGTGTAAAACCAAAATTAAATTAATTACGTTATTTGTGCATCTGTTTATACTCGACAAGAAAAAGAATATATAATTTTCACTGTGTAAACTTTTTTATTTCATTTTATAATGTATAATTTTCCCTTATATTAAAAACAGTTAATTATTAACAATTATAAAATGGTTAATTAAAAAATAGTTAATTAAAAAATAGTTAATTAAAATTTAGATACTAATTCACATTTATTAATTAAAAAATTTTTAAAATGATTAATAATTATAACATTAAATAATTAATTTTAAATAATTAACATTTTTTAATTCTTAAATAATAAAAAAAATTGTTTTTTAATTTAATAAAAAATTCTCTTTTCTAATTTGTAATTAAAAATTTAATCTTTCCTCTCAAAAAAAAAAAAAAATTAGTATAGTTTACGATTAAAATTTCATCATCTTGAAAAAAATTTTTGCAGATTTAAAAGTTTTTCAACATTTTTTCAATTTAATCAGTTTTGAGAGTAAAAGATATGTATAAATTTAATGAAGAAGGTTAAGACAAAACAATAGAAAAAGGGGGGAGGATGTCTATCAAATATATAACTGGGAGAAATTCTATATATAAAGAGCTGTGAGTTTGTAATCGCTACCAACACTCATATCAACGATATCAAAGAAGCGTTGGTCTGTGGAGAGCTGGCCAACAAGGAAATTGAGATTCGTCGGGAATTTGGGAGTACAACCGCGATTTGCATAGCGACCTCCTCTCCCCCCCCCCCTTTGCATAGCCATAATCTCGTCGAGGTTTTGCTTTGTGGCAGTGGGGCACGTACATTGGATATATAATATTAGGCGCTCTCTCTCTCTCTCTCTCTCTCTCTCTCTGCACGGTTCGTTTCTGAACTGCACTGTTATGGAAATTTTCAAGGGATATTCTTTTGGGTAGAATCGCTCATCTCTCCTTGGAAAATCTCCGAAGAAGCACCCCCACCCCTCCCTTCACCAAAGTATTCCATCGCAATTCTGTATATTTCTTGAATAATGTATAAAAAAAAATTTTTTTTTTGAGTGTATATGCTTCCCTTGGTATATTTATTTGATCTAAAAAGAAAGTGGGAGAAAAAATTTATTCCTTGTTCCTTTGGTCAAATTTTTTTTTAACCTTGTAGGACGATTTTTAACTAGAAGTAAAAAATAATTATTAAATTATTATTAATAATTTATTAATATATATATTATAAAATTAAAAAAAAATATATTAAATTTTAATAAAATCCTGCCCAAGAATTCAATTATTTTAACAAGCAATAAAATTTTTCACATGAATTCAATTATTTAAAAAAAATGTAATAAAATTCGTTCTAAGAATTCAATTATTTTCATAAATAATAAAATTTTCTATAGGATTGCAATTATTTTTAATACAATTTTAAATAAATTCATCGAAAAATGTAATTAATTTCAAAATTTTTTTACAAGAATTCAATTACATTTCACAAATAATGAAATTCTTCGCTGAAATTCAAATATTTTTAAAATCTACAATTTTAATAAAATTTATTAAATGAATTTCATTTAAAAAATGTAATAAAATGCGTTGCAAGAAGTAAATTATTTTCATAAATAACACAATTCTTTGTACAAGATTTCAATTGTATGAAAAAAAATTTAATAAAAATTCGTCGCAAGAATTCAACTATTTTCATTAATAATAAAATTCTTCACAGGATTTCAATTATTTAAAAAAAATTTAATCCAAATTCTTCACAAGAATTCAATTATTTTCCTAAATAGTAAAATTCTTCCCAGGATTTCAATTATTTTTAATACAATTTTAAGTAAATTCTCCAAAAAATGTAATTATTTAAAAAAATATCCAAAATTCAATTATCTTTTTAAATTCATGCTACAATGCTTTTAATATTCAATTATCATGTAAAATTTTAACTCAAATTCTTTTTTAAATAAATTTTTATTAGAAAAAATAAAAATTCTAAAAATTTAATTGAATTTAATTTTTTTTTTCATTTTAATTTAATTCTCGACGAGAATTTAATTATTTAAATACAAAAATAAATAATTTATTGAAGAAATAAATGTTTTTCAAAATTGAATTCTCATAAAGAATTTTATCAACAAATTTTTAAATAATTGAATTTTTTCTTCTTTTGAAAAATTTTATTATAAAATAGTAGATATTGAATATGATTGAATTGAGGAAAATTCTTGAAAATAATGGAAATTTTGACAAGAATTTTATTAAAATTTTTAAAAATAATTGAATTTTGGAGAAGAATTTTATGATTTTACAAAATATCAAAAATTCAATTATCTTCTTAAATTCATGCTACAATGCTTTTAATATTCAATTATTATGTATTTTTATGATTTTTAAAGATAATTGAAATTTTGACGTGGTATTTTTAAAAATTTTCGAACATAATTTAATTTATGTGAAGAATTTTATTACTTTTGAAAATAAATTGAATATTTCTGCAATGACATTTGTAACTTCTTCTAAATTCAATTTTTTCCAGTACTAAAAATCCCCGCCTTTTCCCTGATTTTCCTGACCTATGACTTACACTTGATATGTTAAGATATTTTCAAAATAAAATTCGTTCTAAGAATTTAATTATTTTCATAAATAATAAAATTTTTCATAGGATTTCAATTATTTTTAGTACGATTTTAAATAAATTTATTCGAAAAATGTAATTAATTTCAAAATTTGTTTACAAGAATTCAATTACATTCCACAAATAATGAATTCTTCTCTGAAATTCAAATATTTTCGAAATCTACAATTTTAATAAAATTTCATAAATGAATTCAATTATTTAAAAAAAATATAATAAAATGCGTGCAAGAATTCAATTATTTTTGCAAATAATACAATTCTATGCAGGATTTCAATTATTTAAATAAAATGTAATAAAAATTCGTTATTGCAAGAATTCAACTATTTTCATAAATAATCAAATTTTTTACAAGAATTCAATTATTATTCTTTTAAATAATAAAATTTTTCACAGGATTTCAATTATTTTTAATACAATTTTAAGTAAATTCTTCGAAAAATTCAAAATGGCGTATCCAATATGGCGGATAATTATAAAATTGATGCGTTTCGACCGAAATTTATTTGTCGTGGGTTTTTGATGACACTGATAACGAATCTGAGGTCAGATTTTCAAAATTCAAAATGGCGGATACAATATGGCGGATAATTTTGAAAATTGATGCGTTTCGATCGAAATTTGTTTCTAATAAAATAAATTAATTCAAACGGACTAAAATTCGCTAATTTAGATTTAGAAAAACAGAGCTAGTTTTTATGCTAACTTTTATTTATTTAATTCGATTTTAAATTTCCCGCCATTAAAAATCTCCAGCTGTCCAAACAGATGGCAAGAAAACAATTTGCTCGTAAAGAAAATTTAGTGGACAGAGTATATATAAGAATCAGTACATCTCGTCAACATTTAATTATTTCTCCTTTTCTTCTTAATTCAGTTGTACATTATAATTTTTTTTAACTCTTACTTTTATCATCACTATTCTCAATGCTATTAGTTGAGAGTACATATAATTATTAGTTAGAAAATATTAACAGAAATTAAGAAAAAAATTGTATATATATAAATTTAAAACGATAATTTCCAGGAAGTATTATTTACTTCTTCTCAAGGTGTTGTTTCTTTGCCGTTAAAGCAACTATACTAAATACCATTAGTTTATGGCACTCGCTCAAATAACCATAATTTATCCAATTATATAGCAAAACTTAAAGTTCAAGTTTCACGCAAT